TTCATCATATATAAAATGTAAATATCACATATATCATAAGCCACAGTCTTACTTCTCAGCAATAATAAACTTATCTAAATAATGACACATAACAATAACAAGTAACATTATAATCACATATTTAATGGCTCTTGATAATCGGTATGACGTATCGTTAGTTTAAGCTTTGTCGATGTCGCCACCATGGCCTGTTTTCATAGTTTGTCCAGGCTTGCTGTTTATATTTTCAGTGAGAATTATGAGCCATATAATCCGTAATTATGTTACCTTTTTCCTTTAAGAGGATTAACGTATAGCTAACATACTATGGCAGAGCTTAAGAATACTGTACAATTAGTTAAATGTCTAGCACAAGCCTTAAGCTGCTATACGTTAGCTAACATAATAACGCCAGAGATGTTAAAAGAAAGCTACGAAGGAGCTGCAATTATTATGCAAAGTTTAAAAGCACTTGAAACATGCTTATTAAAGAATATTTTTAGGTGGCAGAGGATATAATTATTTTTTCGGTACTAATACGGGAGCGTCCCTATGTTCCCACATTTCTAAGATCTTTTTTTCAAATTAAGCCCTATGTTCCACAGTTCCCACATTTCTAGTTTTTTTGTCAAAATTACGGCCTATGTGCCCACATTCGTCCTTTTTCATAAATTTGTATCAGATTTTAATCCCCCTTTCTCCCATTTGGATTGGTAGCCAATTAACCCTAACCCTAACCCTAACATAGGGCTGTGGGAACATAGGGCCTAATTTTCAGTGAAAAATTCTTAGAAATCTGGGAACAAAAGGGTGTGGGACCATTGGGCTGTGGGAAAATAGGGCTGACCCCACTAATACAATGTTTGATTGTTTGGATAAATGCGCGTCATTCAATAAGACTGCATTGTGAATATCTTCTTCATCCCTCTGTCTTTCATATCATCTAGTTATTCTTCGTTCATAGTTTGTTATCAAGGGTTACTTTTTATTTTGGGTAAGTTATATTTTAAACATGACAAAAGGTCAACGCATCTTTTTCACCTCAGTTTCCATGGACAGATTAACAGATCGTCCTTAGTACTCAAGGAATCAATGAGCATTCACTGACCCAAGACCTAAAATCAAGACAGTAAAATGGGCGTCCTGGTTGTTTGGTTTGAAACACAGGGTCCCAGTTTAAGTCTTGTATCAGAGACTAGACCCTCCTGTCTCTTCACCACACACTATCAAAATCAAAGCAAAAATGTTAGCAGTGCTACATCTAGAGCAGTGGTTCTCAAACCCTGGGGCATAGAGCCACTGATCTACAGTATATTTTCCCATAGTGTGAGTAAAGACTTACGGAGATGCATTTATTGTAAATTAAACGTCTTAGAGCAGCATGCTGTTGTGTGGATCAGCTCTTAATCTTTCCCTTTCCTTGTCCTTCAGGTGAAAATATGGTTCCAAAACAAACGATCCAAATACAAGAAGATCATGAAGAACGGGCCCTGTGGACCTGAGGGAGACCACCTCGCGCCCCCACCGCCATCCTCCTCCTCTCCGTGCTCCCTGTGGGACATCAGCATGGCCGCCAAAGGCGCACCAGTGCACTCTGGCGGATACATGAACAATTTTGCTCACTGGTACCCCGGACATCAGCAGGACTCCATGCCGAGGACTCAGATGATGTGACAGACGGGAGGACACAACACTTCCAGGAAAAACTATGGATTTATTACCAGCAAGCTGACTGGAGCTGTTAGGGAAATGGACATTGGAACGAGTCTGAGCTGCTCTGGAGGCAAAAATAATATAACTGGCAGAGATCAACAGTGAGCAAATATGTGGCTTAAGGCTGAAAAGACAAGGGGAAAGCTAAAGAATATCAAATTCTTACAGAGTATAGACAACTAAGATAATTAAGCATTTTAAACAAATTATTACTTTGAATTTACTTTGATTTTAGTACAAAATATGTCATCAGGACTGTCACCATAGAACTGGGATAGACCTGTCTACACGATAGCACCATTGCAACCGTAGCATTATAAATAAACCAGTGAGACTGCTAATGAGATTCCAACTAGCTGTTCCCACAAAAACAAAATTAGCTTGTTACTAGCTGTGAGTTTACATCTTGATAAGAAATAAAAAAAATAGTTTTCTCGATGGCAGTATGACAAGAGTTAGCATAGTTAGCCTAACAGGCTATGCAAGGCTAAGCCATGCTAGTCTTTGCTATGCTAGGTTTTATTTTTTTATTTGTAGACTATTTTTTCACTGTTTTACTGGTCATTTTGCCAGTTAGCTAATAATGTTTTTTATATATTTGACTTCACCTATAAAGATTTAAAGTGAGGTTGTGCTAAACTTTTGCTAAACACCAGCCTTAGCCATAAGTCACAGGATAATGATAAATCAGAGTTAGAGTAAGGCAGTCAGCAAACAGACTCCATAATGTCCTTTGCACAGCAATATCTATTCTGTCTATCTATTTGTGTCTCCAGAGGAGCTCTGCCTGCCAAGACATTTTTTTATAAAGCTACAACTCAAAACTAATGCCAGCCCTGCACCTCTGTTTCTGGACATTTCAGGGTTTTTTTCTTGCCTTTTAGTGGGTTATGGTGGGGTGGGTACACGTGTAAAAACAAGGGTTGTTCAGGGTTTCTTCATGGTTGTTCTTTATGGAACTGTACTGATAAAAAGGACAAAACCAGAGTTTGCTTATCTTAAAAAACAGATCAAATTAAAGAACTAAAGAAAGTTTCTTTGATTCTGACCATAGTGTGTATTTTATCAATTTTGACATGGTGTAACTCTATAAAGGCTTTGTGTAGCATATAGACCTTTAAAGAGCCTTTATTAAACAGAGGCGCTGATAAGGTATATGAACAAGCAGCCATTTTTATTATACTTATAATCCCCTTTTTTAAGTATGAGTATAAAGAAAATAGTCACAGAATGGACACAGCTACTTTATTGTCAAATTTTATTTATATTTATCATAATAATAAAAGCTCTCAAATTTAAGCTTCAGTTTAAAGATGAAGCCAAAATGAAAATGCCAGAAATGTATTGGAAAGTCACATGTATAAAACAAATTACACCAGGTCATTCAAGACTAATGTGCTGATTTTGTCACGCTCATAATTGATTCCACTGACCAAATTTAAATAATTAGGCCTACCACTCCAGCTAGTCATTGTTCAGTTTTGTCGGATTTTAGTCTTTGGCGGTAATGAGCTGCCAGATGTAGAGACTTTGCCATGCTACATAACAGGGTTTCATTAATTGCGGTTCTTCACTTCTGATTGTGAACAACATTTCACTTTTATTTTCTTTTTATTCTCTGGTGGATTTTAGTGATGGTTGCTGTCAGTTTCACTTTGTTTTTCTGCTCCCCTCTTGAGAACTTCTGAAGTGGGAAACTCCTCATGACCTGCAGTTTATAGTCATATATATAAGCCGTGTTCCGTTGACTGGAATTTATTCAACAACCTCTTCAAATACTGAATTTATATTTTGCCGATAATATATTGGCTTTGGGTCAGGTTGCGCTATGTCATTTGAAATAAATCAAACCCAGTGATCATTGCCACCCTATTTGATTTTGTTTATTTAACTTACATTCAACAGTGGAAATAAGTTGTTTTTTTTCACATTTAACAGGTAATATGAAATTTAGGTATCAATAATGCATAAAATAACATATCACTTATCAGTATAAGGTCTCCATGTGCCCCAGAGGCCTGGAGCCATTTTCTCTAAAGTCGTAAATCAGAAGAAGAGGGTCACGTCTTTCGCCCCGCTAACATCTGGAAAAGCAAAAGGAGTCGTCAAACATCGTCAATGATTTTATAAAATGACCACGTCAATTATAGGTAATTTAGGACACAGCTTGTTAAATAAAGCTTTCACTCCGACGCTGTAATTATCTGTAATTGTCAGTCAAGGGAATATCCTTCTGCCTCGGGCCATAAAGGAAAAGCCTAGGAAGTAGTGGATTACATCAAACTGGATTACTGAGGGCTAATCCTTTCACAACAAATTGATGTGTTGAATGAATGTTACAAAAAATGCATTCATGCATTACTATTATGCTGCTTGCGGTTAGGTTTTTTTTCTGTTGATTTTATTTGAACACCTTTTGGAGATTATGTAACAGCTGGAATCTAGTTCATTTTCAAGGTAAAAAAAAAAAGAAAAGAAAGAATATATTTCATTACAAGAGTAATTCAGCAGTCAGGTCACTGTTTGGACTGGTCAGATAGACTAAAAGGACAAAAGTAAACTTGCCAAATTACATTCATGTGTGATTCATTATGAGAACAAAAGGCCACAGTGAGATAGTGTCTGAGAGAATTTGTGTACATTTGTGTCTGAGTGTTAAAAGGTGATAAAATATTTTTTTTCCTGGCAGAGAGAGAGAGGCATTGTTGCACTGCCACCCTATGGGTTGAAAAGAGTTACACATATTGATAGAATCAGTGTAGCTGGAAAAAAGATAAAAACAGGGTTTCCACACCTCCTGGAAAACCTGGAAATTTAGACTAGTTTTCTAGTCATGGAAACACCTGGAAACTGATTAAAATGACCATGAATATCCTGGAAATAATCAGTTTGGGGGAAATTTTAAAAGTATTTTAGCCTGTATTGTGGCCAAATTAATATGGTTAAAGAGAAAATGTAGTCAGTAGACCTTTTTCACGGCTGCGGTTTTGACATGAAATAGGGTAAACACAGGCGTTACCAATTAAAGTTGCGTCCCATTCAACTCAAACAGGGGCATGTTGGCTCACTGGAAAGGCTCTGCTACACGAAATGGAATGGAACCTTAATTAGTATCAATGGTAACACCTTTAGTGTTTATGCTACTATTCCACGTCAAAATGTCTGCTGGGAAATAGGTCAGTTTGGAACGAAAAAAGTCAGTTTGGCGAAAACAGCCAAGAGCTGTCCGATAAACGCTGAACACTGTTTGTGAGCAAGTGAAGAAAAACTCCTGGAAGAGTTCTACAAAATGATTTATTAAAAAGAGTGGGAACCCAGAAAAAACAAGAGGCTAATAAAAAAGAATCAACTGTGTAGGGGTTCTGTATATAGCGTTTAGGCTCAAGCTCTATCATTTAACTAAAAGTTTAATAATCTTGAGATCCAGACAAACAAATGCCAGCATCGTTGCTATATTTATCTCTGAATGTTTCCATAATCTGTTGTATCAGCACTGGGCAGTGGTGGAAGTAGTATTTAGAGCCTTTAAGTAAAATACCACACAAAGTATGAAAAGAGAACGTACTCATTCTGCAGAAGTGTTTTACTATTATATCTGATGTTTTTGGATAAAATACTGCTGCATTAATGTGTATGTTGCATTTTACTGCTGTAGATGTGTAAGGCTCAGCTCATTTGAAAAACTTTGGGTATTTAATGCATCATATGAGATGAGATTGCAAAAACAGTTTTTAGCCACAATACATTTTCCATTTTCAAGAAACGAGTAACTATAGCTGTCAGACAAATATAGTGGAGTAAAGAGTGGTGGAGTACAACACTAAAACCAGATAAGTTAATTGTTGTTAAAAACATTGTTGAGACGGATCACAGCGATCATTTTAAGTAAAACTACCTCAATTTTGTAAGTTAAAAGAACATTCTTGATCAATTAGCTAGTCATTTTAAGTGACACTGACTTAATGTTTTTTTGTACAGTGAAAACAAATCACCTAGTAAAACGTATTTAATCAAGAATGTTTTCTAGCTCTGAGTTTGTATTACTTTAAAAATGTTAAATTATCCATTATCCATTCTTGACAATTTTTTGGATTTGAAGTAACTTATTGAATTACAGTGTATAAGTATAAAGTTGCATAAAATGGGATTACTCAAGGAAAGTGAAGTACCTCAAGTTTTTACTTCAGTAAATATACTTAGTTATCCACTACTGGTTCTAGGACGCACTTCGTCTGTAGCATTAACCTTAGGCATCTGTTTACAGCAACACTGTTCACCCCCCTCCATATACACCTGTGTTACAGTACGTGAGCCCACCGAGCACTGGACGTCCTGTCGAAAAAATAAGATCTCTTACACGTTAAAATTGGCTCATTCGGTGTACTTTGATACTGAAATGGTCTATTTAAAGGTGCATAAGATTTAGAAGCATCTAGCAGTAAAGTTGTTAGTTAGATTGTACTATCTGAATACAGCTCGCGTCAGTACTTGACAACCTGGGAAGGAGAACAGGCTGTGAAATGTGTAGGAGGAACCACAGTGGCTGTTCCGGGTAAAATTACCCCCAATGTTGCATCAGTGCTGTAGTGGCCCCACACATTTTTACTATGTAATTTCCAGTAAACTGAGAGGATTTTCAGATTTATGAAATCGGATCTATGTTTTTAAAATGAATCGATAGGTAAACCTGTGTACACTGGGGTTTAAGCTATGACACACACCTTTTATACATTATATATTTTATCAACTAAATCAAAAACTTCAACAGTCAGAAACTTATTGTTGGATTTATGTTTATTTATTGTACAGTATACATAATGTTTGAATCACATATTAACATTTATAAGCACTACTAATACATGGTTTAATAACTGACTATAGTGTAGTTGTAAAGGGCATTTTCAGAGTTTGGCAATGTTTTTGTTAATGACTGCAACTGCATGCATAAACAGTCACACAGTATAATGTAGTTGTAATTACACGTAATCATACATCTTCAGTAGTTTTAAACACATACAAATAAACCTGCTATGCAAACATTTCAGCAAAATTAATTGTTATAAACCAAGAAACATAATTTATTCATTGTAAAGTATTTTTAAGCCCACATCTTTACGATACTCATATTCAAGAACAAACTGTGGTAGTAGTAGAATGCTTATTTGTCCACCTAGTGCAAGTATACATTGCTTTTATTTTCTTTTTTTTTTTTTTAAATAAAGGCAAATAATACATGTATCACACAAGACAATGGTGACTTAATAGCTTCACACAAAAAAACACACAAAAGGAGAAAAAAAGGGAAAAAAGAACTGGCGTACATCAAAGAAACAACAAATACATTACTTTCCAGCAGTGAACTTTGACATTATTTATACAACAAAGTCAGTTTGTTTTTCTGCTGAGCAGAAATGTCTTCTGTATATTTAGAACCAGGAACTGTTCCAAGAAGCAGGTTTACTGAGTTGGATAACTTTACTGAAAAAGGCCTGCTGCGGGGATGACTCAGCTGGGTTAACCTGCAGTTTCAACAGTGTATACTGCTTCCTTTTGCTGAGCATGAATCTGCATCTTACACAGAACACAATGCATTACGGTGGTAACATCCACCGATGGAACTCTCGTAATTTGAGCCATCCCAACTACTCCGAGCGGGCAGCAACTCCGGATCTCATAGATCTCATTTATGAAGCATTCATAGTTGTTAACAAAGACACTGACAAACACTTAAAAAGGACCAGTGTGTAGG